GCCTTGTGGGCCATGCTAGCGGAAGATTTGCCCGCTACAGTTTTCTGTCAACTGTCGAAGTCTTAATAGAAAGACTTGGCCCCTTGTAGGATCAAAAAATATTCACAGGGAAACAATTAATAAAGAGCTACAAAGCTAGGTCATTAAAAAAATGCAGTGTCACAAGAAGACAAAAAAATGCATAAAATAGCCATAAGGAAAACATGAGACATACATAGGTATGTATGTATACACAGAGAAAGATAAACGCATTGACATTTGCAGTGAGGTTGGTACATCATTGTGCATTCTCGTGCAGTTTGGGGTTAATGAACTGGCGCAGGCGACGTGCAGAGCTGCATCTAAAAACCTCCTTTTCTTTCTAGGCTCAATAGTAATAAAATGGTGAAATAATATCGAATCGAAATAATACGCTACAAGTGCATGCACCGTGAATGTATAATTTGTAAATAGAATATAATAATATGCACCTTCGTATGTTACTCCTATATTTTTTCTACTTCGTAAAAGGCTTTCAATATCGATAGATGGATTGAATTAATTTGATTGAATAGGTTTTAATAAAAAATTGGCACAGAGAGAGGCGCGTAGGCTACTTTTTATTGAGGTATTCTGAGCAAGGTCCCTGGCAGCAGCTAGTCTTGCATATTTTTAGTAAAATTGTGAATTTGTGGGGTATATCAATACTAAAATTATAAAGAGGTATGCAGGTATGTTTGTTAGTTTGTATGTAGGGGTAACATTTGGAATCGCTGGTCGGATTGCCAAAATTCTTTCACTGATAGATAGCTACAATGTTTCTGAGTGCTATAGGCCATAAAACATCACGCTACGATCAAATGGAGCCGAGCGTAGCTAGGTTTTACATAAAATAAATAAATGTCTTTTGAGACGATGATTATAAGGTTCCGTAAAGTTCCGACCGACTTTTTTAATGAAAGGTTAGGCACTAAATAAAACCCGTATTTTTACAGAAATGATGATTTCGCTATTAGTAACCAATTCCCAGTTATACTCAATCGTCAATAAAAAATGTTTTAGTTTTAATAATACAAAGAACTTAAAATTGCGATTTATAAATTTCTAAATAATAATATGATAATATGACATTTATATGCAATGCGATCTATCTTGTGGTATGTGGCAAATTGTGATAAAAGAACGAATGGGAATGGATTATTGGAGTGGTCATGGCATGCATGTTTATGCAATCATGTTGTCAAGTGTAATCGTACCCTAATGTTGCTTTGTGCATTCTAACCATAACATGACCCGAATCTGTTGACATCATGTCAAAAATTACGTTCCAGTAGAGTAAATTCTGACATGAACATAAAGGATTAAAGGTAGTGCAATGTTAGGAGGCCTTTTTTGAGAGGGCAAAATTGACAAATATTCCCTCTTGGCCCACCCAGAATGGTAGAAGTTTAGTTTTTTTATGTAATAGGTCAGCAAACGAGCAGACGAATTACCTGATGGTAAGCAATCAGCGCCGCCCATTGACACTTGCAACGGAGGAGCTACGAATGTGTTGCCGACCTTTTAGGGATTAGGGTTTTGGAGATTTTGGATAAGGGAGGGATCGGGGGAGGAGAAGGATTGGGCCTCCGGTAACCTCACTCAGACGGCGAATCACAATGCTGTGGTTGTTTCACGCCGGTTTTCTGTGAGGCCGTGGTATCACTCCGGTGCGGTGGTATTGAACCTCCGTGGTATTGAACATATCAAATAGTAGGTAAGTAAATGATATGTGCAATGTATATGTGCATGTGCTAATGTGCAAAATTTAAGGATTTATATTATTTCTCTGTGATTTATTAACATTACGTTATTTGATTAATATACTTGATTTGTTAACTCTCGCTACAATATTATGAAAGATGTTATTGCTTATAATTGTGAATTTTATATTAGGTATTGATTCACTTGGGTTTGATCAAAAGTCGCGACTTAATCGGTCGACTGAATGGTATCCGATTTTTTATTCTTTATTTACACTTTCTTTACCGAACTTATAACTTATGTATTTTGTACTGTCGAGAATTTGATTTCATGATTTCGGTGAAAAAAAATATAATTTATATTTAAATTATTATTCTCAAACTCGAAAGTTATAGCCAGCCTAGCTTAGATGTGGCCGGTTAATAGAGGAGGCTGACTCTAAAATCGCAGCATATTTACGACTTTAAATTACCCTCTATTTTGTCTATGGAGCAACAAATAATAGACGGTCTGCGACAATAAGTCACAGTCACGTCATCCTGAGCCATTAGGTACTGATAAAAGCCTTGCAATACGTAATGTGGTGTGGATTTCATCAACTTCGAAATAGTTTAAAAATACTTGCGTTAGTATCTCAAAGGAATCCCATAGTTTCCAACTAGACAAATTTAATAATTTTATTGTTATGTCAAAAAAGATACTTTTCTATGAAGTTTGTATGTATGATATCTATATTTTATGTTTGTTGTTTGTAAATCGTAACATAATTATGACGTCCTAATGAGATATAACATTTCATCGTCCAGATACGGCACGGCGTAACGTTAATCAGGCTTATGTAGGTATAGTTCCTGAACTTAATCTTTTTGGAACTAAGTGTTCAATGCACTTTCCTTCATATACCATGTGATTATAATTCTAGTCAGACTCTTTTCACGGTTTGAGAAATTCTACGAAATCGACAAGCTAGTATAGATGCCAGTTGGTGCAATGCCCAGAAAGTTTACCATGATATTGAATTTATAAAAGATCAGTGACATAAATAATGTAGGTAGATATCAGTGAGATTGTTAAACACATATTTTTGAAGTGTGAACGACATAGTTTCTAAATATCTGGTGTTTCTCCATTTAGTATGAGCTTAGTTGACGGATAGACTGATGAACTACATTTTTTTTTGTTGAAATTAATATTTTGACTTTAACTTTAATTTAGAAAATTTGCTGTGATTACTCATTTTGTCCGAATACTACACACTACGTACCTGATAAAGAAACATCTTTGTATGAACTAGGGAGGTAGTGAAACAAGCCCTAAATCTATTGAAATAGTGTACTATTTCGCAGTGTTATTATACTTCTACAATCAGTTTCAACAGTATCTTCTAATGGTTTGTTTTGCATACTTTTTTCTATTATATATTGGTAAAATTATAGGCTATCCTGCTCTTTCCATACCTACATCAAGCGATTAGGTTAGCAGTTTATGCCTATATTTTCACAAAACAAAGGTACCTATATAGTTACTGTGATTTTCGATATGTGAAATTGACAGCTTTTAACATTAGGTAACTATGGGCTGATTTTTTAATAGTCAAATAAATGTTATCTAATCTAAGGAATAAAATTGTTGCTGTCACTGTCTTATACAAACATTTTGACGCGTCAGCATCATAATTATTCCCCAGATAACTTATATCTAACCATTGATCAATGAGCCCTAAGCGACTTACTCCCGTGAATTAACTGAGTCTCAGTCCTTGGTTTCAATAAATGATTATCATGAGACAGTATGACTATTGTTACTAGATAAAAAAAACGCTTTATACTATCTATACTAATATTATAAAGAGGTAAAATTTGTAAGTTTGTATTGAGGGGAGGTAATCCTTGGAACCGCTGGTTTGATTGCCAAAATGATTTAACTGATAGATAGCTGCAATGTTCCTGAGTGCTATAAGCTATAAAACATCACGCTACGATCAAATGGAGCTGAGCAGCGGGTGAAACCACGCGAGAGTAGCTCGTTTTTAATAAAAAGCTTATCATAATCATAAGTTTACGAGAAAACGTTTGTAATAATTTCATTGCCTTTTTAAATAACGGTAAAACGAACATAATTCGAGAGGTGAATAGACACAGAAGGGATGTGAATAGATACTTAGTAGGAAAATTCGCCAATAACTATTTACCCCGTTTTACGGTAACAAAACCTTTAATATAATACTAGCTACTCTCGCGCGGTTTCACCCGCTGCTCAGCTCCATTTGATCGTAGCGTGATGTTTTATAGCCTACAGCACTCAGGAACCTTGTAGCTATCTATCAGTGTAAGAATATTGGAAATCCGCCCAGCGGTTCCAAAGATTACCCCCTACATACAAACTTACAAATTTTACCTCTTTACAATATTAGTATAGAATATTTATACACATAGTGTTCTAGATAAATAATATACCTACTTATGTCTGAAAAGTGAAGGTAACTGTATAGGTTTGGGCCTAGTAGGTAGGTAGTGCCTACACATGATTTTAAGTGCAATTAATGAGCGTCGTCATGCGTAAGAATATGTAAAGGGCGATACACGATCGCTTTTGAATTGGCAATCTAGATCACTTCTTAGCCCGGCGCTGCTTTGATTAATTGCTAAAGAAGTTGGAAATCGATTACTATGCAAACGATTATCATTCGATTGTTACAATTATTCGGTCACTATATCGGACCCGTCTATTAAGTTCATGGATAAGTAATAAAAGAACGAATGGGAATAACAATAGTAAAAATACCTATATATATGTATTAGATTAAAGTTTTCTAAAGGGCCTCTGCTTAGTTGGCTTCGGCCCCTTCGTACGCCTTCCAAATGAACGGGACGCTGTGGTCCCGTGATTGGTAAGGACGTATGTACCTACCAATACGTGTTTTAAAATAAAATTATAAAAAAAATATAATTAGGTAAGTAAATTGTAACTTTAATTATTCGTGTTTAACTAAAGGTGAGATTTATAGAAAAAACCCAAAAATTCGTTTTATTTTAGAATAAAAAAAAACTTTATATCGATTTTAACTAGAACACCTCGTTAGTATCAAAAATTTCTTATTCTTAATCCTACTCAATGACATTTGTGTCACGGAATCGAATCCTCTACTAACATAGCTCAGCGGTGAGTATGATGGATTACATAACACTCGTGATCAAGCGTGTACAAAAACATAAATATTAGGTAACGTTAATATATTTAAGTAATAAAATGCTAATGTAATAATAAGGAATACTCACGAGCAGAATGAGAAGCTGGGTCGCCATGTTGCGCGCGCTTCGGCGAATGGTGGTGGAGTGTCGGCGCAGTGGTTGCGCACGCGCCTTGCTAGCGTACAACGAACTACACGTAGTATGGAAGTGACATTGCGTGCATTGATTGTTTACGTTAACGCTAATTACCTGGACGCAATCTTCTCATGGTGAGTTCGAGCGAGTAAAGTTGATGGCATACTTCTTAAACAAGTCGTTTGCTCTAGATTAATCGTATTTTGCAAACAATGGAGTGATATAAATGAGAATACCTGCTAAACGCTGGTTAGTTTTTTAAAACAAAATACTATCACTTTTTATTTGAAATGAAATAATGGCCGTTTGAGTAGTTACAAGCATAGAACAGGATTACAGGTCTCTTAAAATAAAAGAATTTAATAGGTGTTTACTTCTTAAATAAATATTGTCTTTTGAAAAACTAAAGTAATTACTAAGTCAAATTCCGCACATTCTAGCTAAAAAGTTATGCATATTAAAACATGAAATTCTCTACATCAACTTGTCCACTGATTGCAGACATCTAACAGGTTGACCGTGACCGATTTTAATAAAATACCTACCTACTACGATGATACAGTGTAGGCAAATGAATCTATGTTTGCAGATTATATTTTCGCTTTTGCGGTTGACGATCTTATGACCTTCAACTTTAGGCCTAGTTTAATTTGTACTTTTCATTCCGCCTCTCAGTTCTATTTTTATTTATTTATATTAAAATGTATAAGGTAGGTATAGTATATACCTTACTTTGACCAATACATTATATTACACATCTGAACTTTAATTTTAAATCTGTTGCGGATATTGATCGTTTTTTTTGGTACCAGCAAGGCATTTCTAGCAGTGATATATCTGCGTATGTGTCCTTGTCGGCGAATGCAACGGCTGTGCTTTGTCCCACAGTGCGGACTGATAAGCTTCGATATACTTACAATTAGCCCCGTTTAGACAATTTGTAGACAGTATTATGTGAACGGATTAAAGGAAAAAATGAAAATAAAACTGATCCTTTCAAACTTTAAACTTAAAACTTACAGGAATGCAAAAAATCAATGAACTTCTCATTAATGTTTAGCATTGTTATAAGTTTTACTCGCATAGGTACTTTCTTACTGGTGATATTTATACTAAAATCGAAACAAGTTATTTAATACTAAACAGTTTAACATGTTTATAAATATCAAATTGATTTCTAAAAAGTATGTTAAACAAATAGTTCTCAGGTTGATAAATATGATTTTCGCAATAGTTTTTAATTGAAATACTAAGTTGCAAAAATCTTTTGGAAGATTGCTCATTATGGAAATATGCTTTTTTATATTTCGACTTTTATTTCCTTCAAGTAAAAAAAATATAAGCGGTATCGTCAAACTTTTAGGATATGGAACTGTGATTCTTTATTCCCCTTTTAATTTGTGGACATTCTGTGATTAACAATGAAGATACTGACAAGACACTATCTGCTTCATAGTTATGTGCATATTTTCATTTTGGTGCTAAGTTACGGTATTTCCTGGAAATATGCGGAGTCATTTAACCTGAAATGACTGTATTGTTCACCCACGCACTACCATTCATGCCCAGCTCTGAGAACCTAATAGAAAATAAGACTATACTTGGCATACTTTTTGACCAACTACGTATTAACTTGTACAGTGCAAACGTTATTTTAAGCAGTGTATTGTTGTCCTAAGTACGGAGTCCATTTAGGCAGGTTTAGCTACCATATGTATTTCATTAAAGGATCCTTATAAAGCCTTAGTTTTCTGATCGCAATCAGACTTATCTAACCAAGGATTAAGTTTATTTTCGTTTTATCTCTGTGAGTGAGAAACGCCTAACCACGGTTTAAAGTTTAGATCAAGGTCTCTTGAGCAGTTACAAAAGCGGTTACTAGCAGTTATCTCATGGCATTGTTCGTATTCAATGAGATAATAAAGAAAAGGTTTAACCCTGTTTAAAATAGCTGATTAAGAATAATGTATAACGTGTCTGGCCTAGCTTGTGTTGGTGATATGTGACTGCAAGTACATATTTTAGTTTGGTATTATTTTATAAATAAATTCTTTAATGTTTTTATTGGAGTGTCTAAAGCTTTAATAAGGTTGTATCGAAAATTAGCAAAGCTGCGCTAGGTAGATCGGGAGAGAATATAAGAGTCTTATTGACTGAAAAGCAACTCGTTCCTTATCCTGCTCCAGGCCTGGACCGCGGCACTTTATACCGCTTGCACCAAAGCTGGGTTAGGTAACGATTAAATTACATGAGTAAGGACGACGGTTAAGCTTGCAATTATAAACAAAAATGTTTAACAATGAGTGAGCATTGGTCTAACTTGATATGACTCTAATTATTTGTTGTTTTTTATTGTCATCGTCATCATCATCAACAACGCATCAATGTAAGTACATGCCACTACCGAAAGACTTTCAAGTGTTAATATGGTTATGGGTTGACGCTGGGCTGGCAGCCAGCTGCCGAGCAAGTGTCGCGGCTTTGATTCTGGCACGGCACAACCACGGTAATATTATTATATATTATTACCGTAACCACGGTAATATTATTATATATTATTACCGTGGCACAACTCTTTGTGTGATTCACAAATTGTCATTCCTGGTCTGTGTTTGATTTATGTTTATAAACGCCCAAAACAAAATCCCAAAGGGGTTAATTTAAAAAGTCACTTTTATTTAAATTAAGTATGGATTGATGGATGTTTTCTTGCTCTCTATCAATGAACGCAAACGAATGAAATTTGGCCCAAAGATCGATTGAAATCTGGATTATTAGCAATTTTTTATCCTGGCATTACAGACGAAGCCGTTGACAGAAACTAGTTAAACATAGTTCGAGATACTACTCTATGGTAGGAACGAGATATTTGATAGCAATTTTATGTTATTAAAATTATCGTTAAATGGAGTTCCAATCTAATACTAGACTAGCTTTTTTTAAGCTACGCCTAGATAAATGACCTAGCGCCTTGTACACATACGCACTAAGTACTTATAATTAAAAGGTGGGGCTAGAGCCCGCCAAATCTCAGGCTCTCACCAGTTAAGTATGTGAATGTGAACCGTTTTTGTGTTAGTAGATACTGTAAAAGTATGGCAAGGCTGTAATAACAATTTTTGATATCTAGGTACAGGTCTCTTATGCTGGTAGGTACTGTTTGTTAAGGTACCTGTACTTATAGTTCTATGTAGTCATTGTTAGGTGCGAATTACATTTATTGTAATAACTGGACCATATATATTATTATTTACTTCTGGTTTCTAATAAAATCAAACACGACGATTTAGGAGCCCGAGGTTTTTGCTTGGCAGTTGTTCTTGCGACCACAGAACCAATGCGGTTTCAGTAACTGCACAGACCGTGGATAGTATAATTGGTGGAAAACTCCTTATTTATACCAAATTATGGGTTTTTTTGTACCTATGACTTGATGTAAATAATGGTAAATAGCGCCATCTATGTTCTGAGCCTAGAACTGTTTACCCACGATTGCATTGTAACAAAATTGTTTAGAGTGGTATTGTTTTTGTTCGAGTCAAGCAGTGTAGATGGCGCAGAACGTAAACTAATTTTTCAGAAATTTCTAGTACTTTAATGATGTACTACTGAATTTATTCAAATATCATACTTAATCAGAATTATTGAATTTCCGAATTGTGTAACCAAAATACCGTATTATTATTTTTTATGTTATAGGTACTTACCCAATATGAATGAAATTGTAGAACTGCAATGAATTCAAATGCATTAGTAGCCATCGAGAAAAAAAATATTTCTATACCTTACTACCTACTGGTGGTAGTAGTGGTATTACCTACTAGTGGTACTTATTAAATACCTTAAGATTGCCTTAAATATTTAAGTTACGATAATTACCTCGGATAATTATCTTTAATAACTATCCTAACTTAAAAATTAATATTAAACTATCAATATTCTTCTACAAAGTTAAACTAGGTAAGTGCTTTATTTTAAAATCTCTTGAAAGTAATTAGGTACTTAAATTCTACCACAGCACCGCTGAAATCATAACAATTTACCTGAAAAGTCCACTCTTCAAAGACTTTTCTTCTAAGAATGACTAATTTTAGTTACCTACTTAAGTACTAAGCTAAGTATTTGAAACGTAAGAACTTCAGTTATTGGTACAAAGAAATTTACTTTTTGGTACCTACTCAAAACCTTTTAGGTTTTTGTAATTTGAAACTAATTATAAAATGCCTATTTTGCGTTTCACAATGATTTATATACGGCCATCTACATTTACAATAGGTACTATAAATGAATTCGCTTCTGCCAACATCTTTGCCCTCAATTTCAGAGATTTAATGTTTTATGCTATAATCTTTCTTTGTATTTACCATATCTTTTTTAATATATTTATTAATTAGCCATTTGCGTAATAAAGCAACAAATATACCCAATATTTTACAACATTATATGGGTCTGAAGCTGGAGAAGAAGAGGGCTTTAGATAGGAAGAGTCTGACAATACCTTAACCTGGGGAGAGAAGCGTTTAAAAAAACAAAAAATATCAGAAAAACATACTTTCAAATGGACTGCACGGTTGGCGCGGTGGCTGGGCAACTGGCTGCCGCGGAACGTGTCGCGGGTTCATTTCCCGCACGGAACAACTCTTTGTGTGATCCACAAATTATTGTTCCGGGTCTAGGTGTTATGTGCATGTGAAACTGTATGTTTGTAAACGCACCCACGACACAGGAGAAAATCCTGGTGCAGAGCAAAGTTCTTAAAAAAATGATAGATAATACACAAGTTGATTTAGGGATGAAAAGGGAAAGAATCAGGCCTCCGGTTACCTCAATCACATGACGAAACATCTAACGCAAGTGTGATTCCACGCCGGTATTTTGCGAGGCCGTGCTATCACTCCACGATTTGGTCCATTCTTGCCGAAGCATAGCTTTATCACATTTAAAATATGTCTCACCTTAACAAAAGACATTAAAATATTGAGTAAACATCTAGAAAAAAACAAACTCATTATTACACGTGTTTTGTATAATA